TATTCACCAATGTAGAACTGATGGTCGAGAGAGTGATAACCGACACTCATCTGAGCCGCAGCGATCATGCAACGCTAGTGTTTCATTACATGTGCTACGCGGATTATCCTAAAGCGCGTGCCGAGGAATATCATGTGGTAACCAACTATGACGATCTGTCCGACCTCATTGATGCAACAAGCTGGTCGTTCTTAGCCGAATTAACCCTTAAGGTTGCCTGCGAAGAATTCGTCTATTTACCAAGCTCGTGGCAAGGACATGTGCAACCAAACGCTGCCGGCCTAAAAGGATGGAGTCTTTCGTAGGGAGCAAGACACGTAAATGCATGGCATTAAGGGACTTGGCATGGCACACATACATAGCCTCTCCCAACGACCATACCTAGGATGTCTACACAATACAAAGGAACCACTGTGTCAAACTCTTCCGGGAGGATAAACTGAAGAACCAATAAGATCTAGTGGAAAAGCTTTGCCTTAATCCAAAACTGTTATACAGACACGTAAACAATTTGCGCCGTGTTAAGCGCGGTATTCCTGCTCTGCACACAGCATGCGGCTTAGCCCAAACCGCACAAGAGGCGGCCAACCTTCTTCGACAACAATTTGGCCGTACCTTCCAAAGTGTGCAATCATCATATATCCTGTCTAAGCAGATAACGTCGCCATCAGTGTTTAATCACATATCGTTCACCTCCGCAGCTGTACTGAAGAGGCTGATGTCTCTGCGCGAGTTCAGCTCCCCGGGTGCGGACGCCATTCGCCCGAAGGCGTTGGAAGTTACTGCCATGAGTTTGGCAGAACCATTAGCAATTTTCGATGTCTGAACGAGATGCACGTCCCCACCATGTGGAAGCACGAAATCATCACGCCTATCTTCAAAAGTGGCAGTCTTGCTGAACCTTGAAATGATGTATCTGACTGTTAACCCGTTGGTATTCATTTAATCAGTAATCCTTTGTTTTTTGGAAATGACTACTTTTCTCAAAATTCGGTTGATCATCCGTTGAGCAGTTGTCTCAACCGACTAAAATTATTGTCAGAAGCTAAATTTAAGCTGCTTATTTATAACTATAGGCTGTAATATAAAAATCAGTAGCACTATCAAACTGGCGAATAAGGATAGACACTAGTAGCTGTGTGTGAAATGAACTAAGAAACAAAGACTGCCACTACATCGAGACTTCCATGTACAGCAACTGATGAAACAGTTGCTGATATATGAACGTAGTATTTTACCGGCTGCAATGTGAAATTTCAGTAACAAGCTTCACGTTGCTTCTGCTAAGATGGTAGAGTAGAAATCTGAAATTATAACGTAAAGACGCTCCAAATGACGCTCATCACTTTAACTGTGGCATAGTTGACAAGCTTATTGACGGTATGTCTAGTAATACTCGTGGATTTTGTCAACGTTTGTTTAGTTGTGCCGAACTGACAATGATCGTTATTGGTAACGTTAATAGCATTGTTGCGGTTTGTGAATAAACAAAGGACACAAACTTCCATGTTGATTAAAATAAGTGTATTAGTGGGTGACATTGATGTATTTTAGGCATTTAAGCCAGGTGGATTGAACGTAGCAGGATAAGGTTTTAATCTATGATGAAAAATGCACTTATGTTTAGGACATTACACGTTAGAAGACTACAGACATAGTGCCCACCGACATCCAGAAATTCACTGAACAGTCCCCTCATATTAATCAAACACATCAGGAATTTCGATAATTCCCTGGGTGTTGTACCCCGACTTGTGGGCCTCACAACCTACAGCCAAAACCAGTAGTCCATGGGTAAAGCCAGCTCGTAAAAATCAACTCTTTCCTCCCCACTTTCATAACATACTTGACAGCAGTAAAGTTCCAGTGTTTTAACGAAACATTTGCATTCCTGATAACTTGTTGCGGACTCTCATTCATACCTCCAGTAACTCATTCGTTCAGAACGCTGACTGGTAATAAGAAATGATTAAGCTATTTCGCTTCAGTGCATGCATTAAGATACATGAAAATATAAGTAAATAAATATAAATATCAGCTCAGTTCATATCTGGTGGGAATACCGTGTGAGCAATGAACATGTTCGGCGCCTTATTTATGGCACAGGAAGAGGAAGTGAAGCGCATAGCATCATTATTTCATTCACCAGGCTCCGATAGCTGGGCCACGTGTCGAGCATGCCAGCCCACCGACCCCCGCGACATGTGTTGTTTTGCGCGCCGGGGGAGTAGATGTAATTAGAGGAGGCCAGGCGATGAGATGATCAAGAGGGTTGAAGGCTCTTGGTTCGAAATTAGTCACGGTTGGAGCCTCTCGTCTCCCTGCTTGGGGTACTAAAGACGATGAACACGTTTGGCTGGATACACTTGTTGTCATGGCTAAGATCCGACCTCAGTGGTATTTGTGTTGTGTGTTTCTTTGTCTCTCCCCTCTCGCTTACTCTCGCCATTCAATTAAGGTCACATTTCTTAGGCATAATATAACTTTTCCTGCGGCATAATAACTGACTGGTTGCTCTCCAGAACGATGCCCACATGTTACTGGTGACTCAAGAGGAATTCCTCTGTTGTGTGTTTTTCTTCTTTTCTAATGTATTGCGGCGTACTAGCTGAGATGTTTTCCGCCTGTGGCTAATGTGCATAATGGTGGATAATGAGGAGATAAAATAAAAACAGTAGTATCATGGTTTTATCACAACACAGAGACAGTGAGATCATGTCTGGAAGGGGAAGACAAGTGCGAGCAGAATGTGCAAAAAATCTTAAAACAAAAACGTCCCTGTGGTGGGCTCTTCGTCATGTCAACAAGTGCTTTTAATTACTGCCCGGGAGTCAAGAGTCTCCAGTCAATGCCAACTTCGAAGTCAGTACCTTTATTCTTTTTGATCAAGTTATCGGTTGGCCTCCCCTCGTCTTCTTCCACTCAGACCCCGGTCGCCCGAACAATGCACGTCACAAGAGTCGGTGCGTTGGCATGCATAGCACATGACCAAGCCGCCCGTACCTGCTGCATGAAGTGACACTACTGACTCACTTGCTCTTGCTTCACTATAAAGAAGACAGCGAACATGTTCGGTGCTTACACGATGTTCCCACCAGATATGTGCTGAGCCACAAAGGGGTCAGTGGTCGGATGCGTCTAGTCTGGTGTGTAAAATAATGACACTGAGCAGTTCACTTGCTGTTCCATCCGCAAATTTGACAAGCCATACACTCTAATTGCCCACACGATGTTCGCACTAGACAAGAGCTAAACTGTGATGATAACGATGGTCGGACTCATCTAACATCTTTGTGTCGTTTGAGCACACAGACAAGGATACACAAGTTAACAGTTAGGTCGAACTGACCGATGCGTTGAAGACTCTTCCTTTCCAAACAAGAGATGTCATGCCAGCGCTGAAAGGATCTAAGGTTAGCAAAAGTGCTTCAAAAGTTGGCCATACGGCATGTCATTTTAGATTCTATTCCGTAGGCGCTGATACAGTTACACTTGCAGTTAAAAGTTTGAGCGACATCTACTTGATTCATACCAGGAGTCGACGCAAAGCCGGTCACTGCCGAGCTTAGAGACTAGGCGATTAGAGGGTGCAAAGCAAAAATAAAAATAATTGACAGTGTTACTTTGTCAATTTCTGCTTGGTACGTTTGTGAGCTGTCTCAGCTTTTCGTGATATTATCTGTACACCACTTTCGAGAAGCCAAACATCCAGAAGCAGCTCCACCCCTCATATTTCGCGTCTAGAAAGCACAGTTACCAAAACGTCAACAGTCAGATTTGTAATGGTCGTAAGTACACTATATTCTATCTTCGTTTTTATCCTTTCCGTTACCGACCATTTGGTACCATTTGTTTAAATTTATAAATTTCGAATACAACAAGTGCAACGCGCTCGCGTCGTGCTGGTTTCGTTTGCTGCTGCCTCTGCTTGTGCTGCTGCCACGCCCTCCCAGTAGTTGGATTGCTATCTTCGAATGGTTAGTCGGCATCGGAATAACATGGATTGAGCGAAGAACTATAACGCGTGTGCGTGATTGTTTTTCTATTGAGGTTTTGCCTAAGATTGTCTTTTGGCTCCGCACTCGAACTTACTAGATAGACCACGGTCCTCTACAGGCTAAGTACATTGTATGCATGGCCAGGCATTTAGCCAAGAGAATCAAGTAACATCTCCCAGCTTATCTCCAATCCCGAAGAGGACAAGTAACGTCGCAACTACAAATCATCTAAGCAATTTCAGTCTACATGTTAACAAAGAAAGTGTCTTCAGATTCAATACGGAGTACTGCCTGTGTGTAGCTAAGGTAAATTGTCTATTAATGGAAATAACTATTAATTCAGGAGATCCATGTGGTTTCTTCGTAAATATAGACAATCGTTATGTATTGCACATCATAATGATGAGAAATTAAAATTGCAGGATTTCACGTGCACCAATACTAGCTCTATATTTCTTGCAGTACCCACAATATAAATTAAATGATCCCGCAGTCCAAATCGTTGAAAGAAACTTCGGGTAAAGATAACGCTTAACGATGAGAACAAGAAAGTAGGTGGGCCTGACTGGATTTGGTGGCACTTAAATCCCAAGTTGTGGTCAACTTGTCATAATGAATGCCCTTGGAGGTATCATATTCTGAGGCTTCCCGCGAATATCTGGACCGTGAAAATTTTCGTACAAACCGTGGCTTCAAGAGCTTTGTTGAGTAGTCAACAAAAAATTTCCATGCGCTTATTTCGTAAGTAATGCATACCTAAAAAGTCCAGTCTATACCTTCGAAGTATGAAGTTTTCCATTAACGCAAATCCAAGTTATGTACGTTGTAGTTTAAGCGTATGTGCAAAGTTAATAACTGGTCGACTAGCAATCATACCATTAGATTTATTTGCCAAATAACATGCTGCTCCCAGTAGGTGGTTAAATATGTGCCTTCTTATCCCTAATTAATTGCCGTTGAATTAACTTGCCCATCTATTTAACCCCTTTATGTGCGTACCAGATTTACCGACAAAAGTTGAAACATTTAATGTTCGAACAAAATTCACGGCAGTCGGAACAGAAGAAGGAAGCCCTACAGGAATTAAGTAACGCGAAGGATGATGCGCGAGTTGAAATCCGTGCCATACGCAACGAAAACTACACTTTGAAGAACCGTTTACGTCAACAGCAAGTACAAGCAGAGGAAATGGTAAAGGCATTGAAGAGGGAACATGAACTAGAGGTCGGTTTATGATATCCCCATCAATTTTTATACATTTGATGTCTAAGGTATTGAATCTTTCCTACAAACCCAAAAATTAACTCTCTTGTTGGAACCAAATAAAAGACACAAAATATGTAGCATTAGTGTAACTGTTATTTGTGGAGGGGAATGCTTGCATAACACTTTGCTTTGTTCGTGTATGTTACCCCGTTTACCCTACTTCAGGATACAGCCGCGTCTACCTAACATTGTTTATTGTCAACGGACTACTTTAGCTTACATTTGTTCAAGAGCATCAACAAGTTTAAAGGCACTGTTAATTACTCCAGTGTGCATGATCCTTTCCTATGCCGTTGACTTTGGCTGTGTCCGGAGTGGATACACAAACGAATATTGCCCCCTTTGTATTCAGTGGTGAAAAGCACTCACTGATACGTCATTTGCCCACTTCCTGATTGTGGCTAGCAAACCATTTACAGCTGGTTCAATTTTTAATCGAAAGGCTGATGGGACATGAATAGTATTAAATGCTAAATACGAAACAAGCTGTTGCATCATCTTATTTAGTATCGAACTGAACCAAACATCGAAATGTATACCTGTTTGTTTTGCTATAGGCCAGATTTGCTAGGTGCTTGATTAATAAACATGTCGCGTGAGGACCACGCTGAGCTTGTGCCTTTAACACAAATCCCATGTGGTCACGATACCATGGCAATTATTATCGTGGCCTGATTCTTTGTGTGCCTCGATCATCCACTGAGCTGTGCTGAGTGGTACTTCTTGCATCTCCAGAGCCAATCATACCAGATTTGTCAACGATTAAAGGCTAGACTGGGGGCGGGAGTGGGAATTAGCTGTTTGTTCTTTAAAACCGATTCTCTGTAGCCCAGTACTAAACCGGCTGCTTTGTGGTCAGGTATTTGAACCAAAGAATTTGGTGGACAGCTCTAATCATTCTCTTGTCTAGGCCTAGACAAGCTGATAGTTTCTTTCCCATACAAGTATAGTGAACTACTTGTCAAATATTTTCTCGGTGTGCTGGACGTTGCAGAGGATAATCAGTGGTGCCCCTACTGTCACATTAAGCAGGATGTATAGGGATGAGGTTGCTACTGCTCAGACCTACTCGTCCTTCTAGTCCTCCTTTTACACAGGTTCATCCTTATCAGCTCGTTCCAATTTCAATTTCATCTCCCGATTCTTGGTCCTCCTCCGCATCGCTCTAACTTCCGTTTGCCTTCTAGGTTAGACATACGCACAATCGGATAGCATCGCTTCTGCCCTGTCGACAAGTTTACGTCCAACCAAGCAAATATCTTCAGTTAAGCCGTCACTTAACAGATGTGGTTTCTTTCAGATGATCGAATGGTCGGCTTGACCTAAGCCGACGATGTCGTGATTGTCTGTGACAGCTTACAAATGCGTCAGGCAGTGCTGGACGGATTGACATGGTTATCATCCATTTTGCGCTTTGCGTTGCGCCCTCAGATTGGAAGGTTTAGTTCCAGGATTGACAAGGACCACCCCCTTGTGTTAATCCTTGGTGGAGATCCGTTATAATTCTTTAGTAATTCAACTACCTGACCAGCTATATCAGTGCCTATGTAATGGAAGATGAAGTGACATGCTATATATTCAAATTTTGTGGGGCTTTTGCTTATTTTGTCGCTTGGGACGGAAAGAATCAGACAGCCTTTTCGCCCTGCCGTGGCCTGTCAGTGGTGCGCATTTCCTCGGTGTTCTGTTGGGATTGTACCGATATCTGCTAGTTGCTTAATTCTATTAGCCAGCATCTTATTTAACTAAGCCAAGCTGGGCGGAGCAGCCCGTTTGAATTTGCAAGCGAACTGTGATGCAGAGGGATCTAAATGTTCACCTTCACAGTCTCCAATCGCTATGAAGATATAACTGCTGTGTAGTCGAACTCGTAACCCCGGGGAACAGCCACGGTGCTCCGCAATAGCAGAAACCTGCATGGCAGTGGAGAATAAGTCAAGCTATATCCAAGGGGAACGAGGAAATGTGCACCGTTGACCAGCCCCACAATGACGAAACGAGCGTCTTGTGCTTTTCCAGATTGGAAAAGGACTAGGCTGACTTGTGAGTGGTTGGATGAACAAGTAAAATTTCATCAAAAATCCTCCTACTCATATGTAATCACTTCGCGGAGTTCATACCACCGAAGATATTATTGATATATTGAGGTATTGATATTATTGAGGTGACAACCATCTAGCGTTCTGACATACCATCAGTTGTAAACAAGACCTATGCTTATGTATTGCATTAAGAAACCGATAACGATAAGCTGCATGTTCCACTGTCTATACAAACTCAACTATAGCTGCGGAGACCGCTATGTCGGGCGCACTAACCGAAGTTTAGGTGTTATGATCAATGTATACATTCCTAAGTAGTTACGGAACCGAAGGGGGTCGGTGACGACAGAATCAGCTGAGTTGAGATATCGAACTGCCTCGGCAATCATAAGGCACTTACTGAGCACCCGCCACCGAGTCAATCTCGATGAGTCATTCACTGTCTTGATGCGCAGTCAGCGGTCCAATATTCTCAGGCTATCGTAAGCTATTGTCACCGATCGAGAACGGCCACGGCTTTGTGTGTAGAAGCAGCTGATTGTGAAACTTAAGCTTCCGTGGTAGCGTGAGACGTGACGATTGCCAACGATTGGTTAATTAGTGAGTTCATTCGATCGCGTTTTGTCTATCCATGATATTCGCACGATTTGTGACTTACGAGCTTGCATGAAATGACTAAATCATCTCGCAGTTTACGTCTTCTGATTTTTCTGTTTGAAATGATAATGAGAATTTTCTGGGTCAAATATCACCAATTGTAACTTCACGATCGCAAAGAAATCAGTTAGAGCGACGATAAGTCAGGAACATACTTTAAGCACAAGTTCGCGGACAAGCAATATGGAAAGTATGCAAAGCTTCGTCTACTTTGTAAAAACCCGTTGGATTTAAGTGAATATGACGCCGAAACCCAGCTGTTTAGCTCATTAGCCGGTTTACCAGGAAAATGAGACTACGAAGAATGCAAGCAAGACGGTTAGCGAATAATAACTCAAAGCTTCCTGGCAAATGAAATCAAGCACACGAAAATATGTGAATGTGGAGGACTGTACTAGGTCAAAAAATGCGTGTATGCAGACGGAAATGAGTTGGCTGCAAGTGCACACTCGGCAAAGTATATTGGCCTTATAAATCATATGAAAATATGTACAAATGTATCCATCGGATCCAATTGAACATGGTACAGGATGATGCGATCGTGCAACATGTAGACTGAAAAATACAAATTAGAAAAAGTACCCCTGTTTATCGAATTCGGCGTCCGACAGAAACCACCCTGTGAGCACATTAACGAGTTCTAGACTACAGGCTTCAGTTGAGAATAAATCTAAATTCAGGTCAAATTTGCTGAAAGTTGTTATTCAAGATCTTGACAAAACTGTGCGCAATTTCATGGTTAGTTGCCGTTATGATAGTTTAGGATTTCCAATGGATTTGTTTGATTTCAGCTCTCTGAAATGCGTCAGGATTTCTCCAGAAAGACAGAAGAGATAGAGACACGCGCAGCTCGTCAGATGGCCATGATTCGAGAAAAAGTGGACACTCAGCGACGCGTGGAAGTGCATATGACAGAGGAAAACAAGAATAAGCATATTCAGAGTCTGGAAGCGAATCACGAGAGAGCATTTGCAAACATGAAGGCTTATTACAATGATATCACTCTCGGGAACATTAGCGTGATCAAAACCTTAAGAGTAAGCATCGCAATGGGTACTTCGTCTTTCATTAGTTTTGTGGAGTTCCTGTGATTCATCATCAACCTTACTATCGTGACAAAGTTGTGCCTGAATCGGAATGTCGAGTGAAGCTCCGAGATAGATAGTAGTACACATTACAAAGCACAGTTTGAGTGAAGAAATGTTTAATGATTATTCTACTTTGCTCACAAACTTAAACTGTTTATCATGAGAACAAGGGTCAGATCGGTGGCATTCATTTTACCAAGTGGTTGTGGAAGGAAGTCGGAAGCGTGAACGCAGTAAATACTTAAGAGACCAAAACACAAGCCCTCTTAGATGGTTGAAAGCGAGGTGAATCATGAAGGGGAGCTCAAATGCATCTGTTGAGCACCTACGACAAATTCGGTACAGCAGCAACCAGCAATGGCCAGTTAGCCATAGATGTTCCACAGGTGAGAACTACTGTGTGCACTGTCCCAGTTTAATTCCGGTGCGTGCAACCAGACGAAGAGACTGCGCGAGGCGCCCCAAACAACAGAGGCCCAAGACCCCGCAGCCACAACACCTAAGGAAATCTGTCGCACAGCCCGCGACAGGTGTTACTTCCCCTTATGTACGAGTGCTACTAATGAGGTAGACGAAACATGCTAGTGCTAAAATGCAGTTATGGTAGGTTATTAGACACATATCTCCATAAAGCAAGGATTTATTTGAGTGGATATGAGACTGAAGTCAGAAAACAAAGCGAACATGGCGCGAAGAGTAGCAATCCTTCAGCCTAAGATTGTATTCCTCTTTCCCCGATATACTTGAGTTGGATTATTTGTTTTCTCAGGCTCCACATTCAGTTTGCACACTCACAAAGTAGGCTAGAAATAATAAGTACAGTTCTGATCGTGATTAATTCACTACATCAAGCAACAAGATATTGCCTTAACGCCACAATGAATGTGCCTTTCACTACCGATTTCAGTGTTTCAGGAACTTGTGGCAGGTTTGACCCATTCGCCGCACAGTGAGGTGGCCACCCTAAGCTACTCATGTGTGATGCGGGCTGCTGCGTGATTGGCAGCCTGTTGCTCACACGTAGCTCTAAGAAGGAATGACGTCTCAAGTAGTAAACTCTTGTAGTGGAAAACGGTTCTGTAGTGGAGCTAATCGCAAATCCACAAACGCCGATCCGAATCATGTCGGAGGCGCACCTGGGTTTGCATGCTTGAGAAATAACCCGCTGCGCATGCTCAAAATCGGAGCCACCAATCCTGCTACGATCAATTGTTTTAGGCTGCAGAACCTAACGAAGAATGTAATCTGTACGCTGCCACACCCACATTACATATGTAATACATTGTTCCATTAATGAAGTACGCAAAAGGGCAAGTCAGCATCCGATCAAGCCTACGTCGCTGACCGATCCAATCATCGCTCATCATTGTGGCATACGATCCGGTCACTCACGAGGTAATAAGCCCCAGAGCAAAACCGATGTTAGAAAACAGAAGTTGATGCCCAAAGCGGCAAGACGGTCAACATTTCGGTATTCTGCTGATATTAATGACAAAACGTCGTTGTACGCCACCTAACATGCAATGCTTAAACGCCCATCATTGCAGGAAAACATTGATGAGCTGCGTTCACAGCTGGGTAGAGCTCAGACGCTATTGGACGGCTCGCAAACAGAGTTGCAGCAGAATACTAATAAACTGACCAAATTAGAGAAAGAGAACAGTCATCTGCGTCACGTGGCCAAATTGTACGAAAGTGAAAAAATGGCACATCAGGTGAGCGATTGTCGAACAGACCCATTTCCGTCTCTCGGTTTCAGTATGCTATGTATATGGAGCTCTGACACAAAAGCGTGAAGTGGGGAATATGAGTGTCGAATTTCCAAGACATAACATTAAGCACCAGTGTTTTCGTAAAGGAGTAGACCGAAATTAAGGGACGAGTGGTCCTACGGCTACACTATATCGATGATATGTGGATGAAATGCGTTCGCTTCAGGGGTATCAGTTTGCGTAATAACGAGTGTAATCGATGAAAAGGTGGAGAAAGGGAATGAGTGATATTTAAGAATGGGTGTGGGATAATGTAGAGCAACCGGTGTGCAGTTTTAAGTAATTGAGGGCAGTTAAAAGAGCGGTTGACAAGTAAAACCCTTAAAAAACACATTTCAGTGCGCCTAGTTTCCAAGACAGCATACCATTACCGTCTTTGTTATTGTTAAGACTCCTCACCGAAAATCAAAGTGACCGAAAGTGATTTAATACTTCGGAATATGATTCGAACTCACTGAAAGTTTCCAATTTCCCAAGGCTTAGAATACAAATCGGTTTGTGTAGGCTTATATTGTGACTACCTTTGCCTTTGATGCAAGGACTTCCCCAGGCCAGAAGAAACTTTTGCGTCAGGAGCAAAATGTAGCCACAATACAAAGCTACACAAACCGATTTGTGTTCTAAACCTTCCGAAACCATGACCGATGGTGAATAGAGCAAAAAGTATGGTCCAAATTGTGTCTGTATATCGCAACGCATACCACAGGAATCACTCCAGAAACCTGAAAATTTGTCCATGTTAGTTCGAAAGTATAGCTAGTAGGATGCTTCGTCCCGTTTAGAGTTCTTTCTTTGGAATGATCGTGCAACTCTGGAACTCATTCGATGGTCTGACGAACGCTCAGGAATAGGCAGTAACATCACAACGAAGGCAGCCAAATGAATAAGTTCTGGCCTATCTGTAAGTAGTAGAGAGATGTATTGGGTATTTCGTGAAGATTCGTCGCAGTTAGACTCAGGTGCAATGCAAAACCCACATGCCGACAATGAAAAAACGGGGCACATGCATTGGAATCCTGAATTTGGCAGTATACACTAACTCTGGATTACATGATTGAAACGCGCCAATTTCGCCAATTCCAATTATTACCTTTAGCTTACCAAACAGAACGCGAAGAAAACGTTATTAGCGATGCAAAAAACAGAGATGAATCTTGACATAATGACAGAACGCTTCGATGGGGTAAGTTTAATTCACTTTTGTTTTAAATTGTTGCGGCCATGCCGAGCCTCCAGATTCACAATCATGAAATGTCAAGACTGTAAAATAGAGGGTGCATGGCAGAAAATGGACGATGGCCAGGGTACCGAGGTTTGATGGATTTACTTGCCATGACTCAAATAGCCAGAGATGTAAGCGGATAAAACTAGCGGAGAACAGGCAAAAAATATAGTGGAACAACTAAAGGAAAGGATTGGAGAAAAATAATAAAATTGTCCGATTGAATCTTTAACAACAAGAGACCATGTGAGAGAATCACTGATATTGTGTCACGATGGCAAGGTAACTAACTGCTGAAGTGATCATTCCCGATGAGTCTACCCAGGAAAACGGCGTGAGTAAGCCTTGCAGTCGAATTCTCGAAGACTTTTAAAGATGTAGCAGGTTGCCCTCCCTGCGACTTCATGGGTCCAAAGGTAAAAGCATTTAAAAGCTCACGAGGAAAAGTGTGGCCGATGAGCATTCAGAAGGTATGACCAGGCCAAAGAGCACGCTTTAAATACGTTGCAGTCCAATGTAGAGCCATGTACCAAATACCGGCTGGTTGATGCCTGCATTATACACTTACTCCATAGTTATAGGGTTATATACACTATGTACTGTCCCTAGAGATAAATAAGTACTGTTAAGTGAGGACTACTGGTTCCTCATTGCTTTTAATTCACACTGACTGTCTCTGGGATCCATGTAGGAACGATGAGCGCAATGCAGCGTTGTACACGAAACTTTTGACCGATCGGCATGAGTGCTCAGCACCATCTAAATCTGTGATTTGGCAGTAAAAGGTGATACATTCACTCAGGCAAGTGAAGCAAGTATTCAACACCCGTGACTGTTTATTGGTAGTAAGAAACAGTCGCGGTGTTGCAACAGTACCTTGTACATTAAAGGTGAAGGGTGTGTGCGGAGTGTGCAGTATGCTCAGTAGTGATTACATAGCAGAAAGGTCCGACACAAGGAAGACGTCGTCAGGGGCAAAATCCTAAATTTACCAATCCATTGCTAGTCATGGGTACAAGTTCAGAGGAAGAAAGGAAAGAATAAGCTGCAAGCATTCGGAGTACCGTGTCGGAAAGTAAAGGGGAAACGGAACAGTCCTAATGAAGGCCCACACAGTCGTCAACATAGGTGAGATAATACTGAATAATCGGTATATGTCAAAATGAAGAGAGCGCAAAGTTAAAGTGAGCGTTGACTGCTGACCCATCGGATAGTAAAAGATTCAGCGTGAAAGGGAAGTGCGGATCTCAGAGAAGAGTTAAACACTTCAGTAGCACGAATCACGAAGTCAAAGATAACCTGCTGAGGAATCCGAGAACAGGGAGGTAGGAAAGTACAGAAACAGTGCAACCATCTACCGAGAACACTGACAACAAAAAGTGTCTTTCTGTATCAAAAATGGAACAAAGAGCGGAGAATAGTAAGGAGATAAAACCAGTGGATACTTTATCCCGCTGCCTAGAACATTTTTCAATGCGCTGCACCTAGTAGAATGTTTAGTTTGTCGTGTTTTGTACTTAATACACTTGAATCGGTATTCATCGTGGAGCAAGTAGTTCAAACACGAGCGCTACCGAGTCATTTCATTGCCACAGTCTTCAGAAGGAGTGCATAGCTGAAGCGGGTGTCTCTTCACCTTTTTAGACCAATTACGTGTGAAAGCCAGTACCAAACCTCGAAATGGGTTGTGTAACACTTCAGTGTGCTTTACTTTTACCAAACCAGCTCGACAAAATGCGCAACACCATGGCACAACAGTTTGAAAAGTTGCTCATGGACGTACAACAACGAATGGGTCTGCGAGCTTTACTCGTGGAACAGAAACTGAAGCAACTCACAGAGTCGCTTGAAACAAGGGAAGCGCAGATTATGCAACTTGTGTTAGCCCTGGATAGCGATCCAAAGGCCGTGGAATATGCTAGGCAGCATTTGGAGGTAAGTTGTGCATGGAACGAAGCAACGAATGGTAGCACTGTTTCAAGTAGCTGAAGTAGCCAGTGAAACATGCA